GACCATCCATCGTCCATAGGGAATTTATGTAGCTGTCCTGTCGTAGTTTGTTGAGCCGGCCGACAAGGGCTGATCTGGGTTTAGTTAAACTTTCCGTAATGAAGATATTCGAATGGCGCCGCTTCCGGATTTGGTTTTGCTTATTATAGTATTACACCCTGTCGTCTATATATATAAACAACGATAGCGTAGATTTGCGAGGAGATTTTAGAGGAATTGGCAGCAACGATTGTTGTATTATTTTATTTTATTTACTGATATTCATAAAAATAGTTACAAAAACAATGATGCATAAAAACAAAATCTCTAATTATCATATGACCATTTTGTTAGCACACCCCATGTCAGCCCGAGAGACCTGATATCAGCCAGAGGGCCGAAGACATGGGGTGTGATATCAAAATGGTCATATCATAAACTTTTTATCATGTTTTTTTCCCTTTAAAATAAACAAAATATACACAAAAAAATAATTTCTTTATTTTATTTAAATTCATAAAATGGTAACAAAAACAATATTCAATTATAGCCTTTGGCTGAGGTCGATACCTGGAATTATCAACCCGAGAAAAGATATATTAACAGAGGACGCAGTCCGAGGTTAACATATCTTTTCTCGGGTTGATAAATCCAGGTATCGACCTCAGCCAAAGGCTACAATTGTTTTATTATTTTCAAAACAGTAATGTTAGCAATCTGACGGAAAAAAAATCACCGCAAAAATCTACGGAAGCGGGACGATGCGTTTGTTTGGAGTCGCGTCATAATTCTGTTTTTAGAAACACCCAGTCCTTCAACAAAAATCACGCGCTCCAAGTCAATATCGGTTTTTATCGGTGGACACATGATACATTCCTGGCCAATCAGTTGTCGGGAATAATATGAAAAAATAATAATATTGATGTATATAAACAAAACAGTAACAATTATACGTAAAAAGTCAACATTTAGAAATTCCCAAATTCCTACAAAATGATATGGTTATTAAAATTTTGGTGGGGCTTTGTAAATTTTCCATGAAACCNGTGATATCACTATTCTAGGGGTTGTGATATCACTATTTAGGGGGGGGGGTGATATCACTTTCAAGGGGGTGTGACAGAGCTGATATCAACTTGTGGAAATTTAGACTTATAACACATACAAAAAGGGTGTGATTATTAGTAAGCATATGATAACGGATTCTATCAACTTGATAAAACTGATATCTTTCACACTGTGACAAATATCAAAAGTGATACAGTGTGAAAATATCACTTTTTGATATTGACCAATCATAACGGTATCTTCTATTCGCTGCATTCAAAGGCAACGATTTTTTGTTCAGATTCAAATGAAGCAACAGTAAAATAAGTGGTTGTTATGGTAAATGTTTGGTACACATTCTTAAGTATTTACCTAAATATACCATTCATAACATTTTTATAAGCAAGAATACCAGAAAATAGCAGAAAACGTCGGAATTGCGTTGAGTATCCCATTCAAAATAGCGCACAGCCTTGCTGTCAAGTGTGACGTCATTAGGATATTGCGCTAATTATTACGCTCCTGATTCTATTGTTTTCTTTTGTTACAGACCTTTAAGTACATACACACTACTATGAGGAAATTTTGCAGCATCAACTAGATTCTAGAAATTTCAGATGTTTTCTCTAAAACCACACTGTTTTGAGGTTTTAAGTTTTATAGAATGCATTTCATGAGATATTTATACAGATAGATGTATACCTACCATTCTATGATCGTTTAGATAAATTGTTAGAAGTATAGCGATTGGCATGGCTTATTGTTGTCGACTAATCGATATCACCTCCTTCAAAAAAGTTATGGATCAGTTGTGACCAGTGAAGTTGCGCGTCCAGTAGTGATTTAGAGGGAGGTAAAGGTGAGGTTCGCATGAAATGAATTGAAAATAAACTCGTACATCAATATATATATATATGGCTCTTTAGAATTCCTTGATACCGATGATCATTTATCTACCACCCGGTATTCGATTAAAATGATCAAATGTCGACTTATTTTGCATTGCAACATAACGCTATTTTAATGATGTACAACCTAACATGTCATTGCGACCGTCAAAGTAAACACAGGGTACTTAAGCCTTCGTTTGAGTATTTTAGGTGTTAGTGCGATAGGATAAAAGAGATTGATCAACGCTAATGTTTATGACACAAATGGAGCATCCATGAAGTGATATAACAATCAGCAACGATGCAGCTAACTAAAACATCAGGGGAAAAGATTTGCATCATCTTATTCAGTTTTGTTCAATGCGCATTTGTTGACAGAAAAACAAGACCAATGTCCATGAGCTCATAAATATATGTTAAGAGTTTACGAAAGACATGGAAAAGGATGAACATGAATTGAGAAAAAAATGACTGCTCCGCCATATTTGAAAAATGTCTGACATTTTATATATTAGCTTTCTAGGGTAGATTGTCTTATTAAATAGGCTCATATGTCAGGACAATGCTTTGGGAAGCAACGATGATAATTTTATTCTAGAATTTCTACTGTCAAACAAAATGATCAATGAAGCTAGGGCTGTTAGATAGATTTCCCATCTAGAGACTTAGGAGAACTAAGTCTTCAAATGTTCCATGATATATATATATCATATACCTATATATAGGTATACATTTAAAATAAACAATGGAGGACCTGCTTTTTCACCTGTCATAACATCCTTTTTAACCATTGTGTAACTATTTCCCATTTCCCTGATGTTCTGAAAAAGGCACAGGTTTTACCGATTTTTAAGAAAAACAACCCTATGGAAAAGAGTAACTTCAGGTCTGTTAGTATTTTACCCTCTTTTTCAACATTTTTGAAAGACTTGTTCATAACCAACAGAGTGAATATCTTAAGCCAATTTTTAGTTTTTTTAGCAGCTTTCAGAAGCGGTTACGAGTGCCAGTGTGTCCTGCTGCGAGCTCTTGAGGACTGGAGGCAGGCAGGCCTTAGACAGCCATCAGCATGTTGGAGCCATTCTGATGGACCTGTCCAAGGCATTTGACTGCATTCCTCATAATCTGCTACTCGGGAAGTTGCAAGCTTATGGACTGGGTAAGTCATCTATTGACTTCATCAGCAGCTACCCGAGTGGCAGAAAACAGCAGGTTAGACTGGGGTCAGAGACCAGCAAATGGGGCGATGTAAAGAAGGGGTCCTCCAGGGTTCTATTGTAGGACCTCTAATTTTTAATATTTTTATGAATGATATTTTTTACTTTTGTAGACAGATGACAACACGCTCTCTAAGATTTGTGACAGTTATTTATATTTGAAAGATTGTTTAGAAAATAAGAGCAAAGTTCTTATAGAATGGTTTAATTTGAATGGTATGAAGGCCAATCCGGAGAAATTCCAGGCAATATGTTTTGGCAAAAAGACAAGTAACTCTATCAAATCTTTTAATATTGAAAGCCTTGAGATTATGTGCGAAGACAGTGTGAAACTTTTAGGTGTGGATATTGACTTTCTTCTTAAATTAGTAAAAATCTTACAAAGAAAGGAAAAAAATAATATTTTGAAGTCTTTTATTCTATCAAATTTTAACTATTGTCCACTTGCCTGGCACATTTGTACATTGACAAATACTAGGTAAATGGAAAAAGTTCAGGAACGAGCACTTCGTTTTATTGAAAATGATTATATTTCCCCAGTCATTGATATTTTAAGAAGACACAAACTTGATTTTTTTTACATGTAAAACGTTTGAAAGATATGGCCTATGAGGTTTGTAAATTTTTAGATGATATTTCCTCATCAATTTTACGAAATCTTGTTGAGAGGAAAGAAGTGTTTTACAATCTTAGACAAGATAACCTGGTAAAGATCGATGGTACGAGATCCGTTTTGCAGCTTCCCAGGTGTGGAACAGCCTACCAAATGAACTTCGATTAACTGAAAACTTCGTGGGCTGCTTCGCACCTGGGACACTAAGGTCTGCTCATCTGCACACACCATATGGTGTGAGTTGTCCCCCTTTGGTATCAACCTACATACACCATATAGTGTGAGTTTTCCCCGTTTGGTATCAACCTACATACAGCCTGTGATATTCATTTTAGACTTGAGCTCCATTATTTAAAAGATCATTACTTTTTACAATATCATGATTATAGCTCTCTGTTTCTATCTATGACTTCATTGTCTCTTTTTATGCACACTTTAGTAGTGTATATCATGTACATTTTTACACTTTGCTACAATAGCTTATGTGTACATTACACTATGATAGTGTCTTAACTTGTCTTTTGTAACACTTGTGTGACATACTAGTGTTGACTATTTTTTATTTTTTATTTTTTTGCATAAACTGTGGTTGCATATGTACTACTCTATAATTGTAGCATATTTAAATTGAATTGTTATCTTGTTTATATATATATATATATATCCATAAGTATTGTGATAATTGTTAAATTTTATATATGTTTTGTCGCAAGAATAGCACTACAGTGCTTATGTTATTATGTTACATGTATATGCGATGTTAAATAAAGATTCTTGACTCTCGACTCTTGACCTGGTATTTACTCCTGTGCTGCTTGATACACATGTAATGTCAGAAATCCTCTCTAACTCATCTTACAGAGTTGGGGATTTGCTTTTGGAGACACAGGAACACAAAAAGTAAATCTGCTGGACCTACTGCGGGGTCTGTGTTCATTTATCTCTACTTTATAATAATTATTTTTGTTGCTTCGCATTTTCCTTGGCAATATCTCACTTTTGGCCTGATTGTTGGACGTTTGCCCAGGAGAGGAAGGCAATTAGCTCTGTCCGTAGGCGGCCTGTATCAAGCTCATAAAAATGACTTCATTATCATTTAGGGCGATAACAACAATGGTCTAATCGTTGTCAGTATAATGTGACAGGGTGGAATACAGTGCTGGGTGCCTTCGGTATGGTATTTCAGTTAGGTAACACTCTAAAGTCGGAATCAGATCGCGCTATCGCAAGAAAGCAAATACATACACACGCATACAATATTTATACATATTTATTATAAACACCGCACTACTTTATGAATTTAACAGCCCATTAAATAGGAGATTAGAAATTAAATAAGCTGTGTGCAATGGTTTTCTTTTCGGAAGTTTAAATTGTTATCTGTATTAAGGACCCAAGCCAAAAACTATGACAATAATCTGGAAACATTTTACCGATTTGACAATACCAATCTTTACCAAAATAAATATATACCTTGTGGAACGTTGATGTAAAAATAATAAAATAAAAAACAAACTGCTGGACCTCTTATCCTTTTACTCTCGCTCTACACAACTGAGCTTCATTGTCAACAGCAGCTTCCTGGTTCAGTTTCATTACAGTTTTATTATATCAAATGTAGATGAATGTATGAATCCTTGCAGGGGAATTCTCTGGTGTCTTGCCTGCGGCGGGATAGGGATCCCTAAGTGGTTTATCATGTACTGGATTGAGGGTGGTCGGGTGGTGTAGTGGATAGCGCACTTGTCTTTCACCAAGGCGGCCGGGGCTCGATTCCCCGATCGGACGTGAAAAGGTATGGGGTCACCTGCCCGACCACGTGGGTTTTCTCCGGGTACTCTGGTTTCCTACCAAACTAAGAGCTCCCGCGCTCTAGCATCCGGGCCAACCAGAGTGATTAATATAAGTTAACACAATTTGTTTCATAATTGTTGTAAAATATATAAAGTTTTTTTGTTTTTTTTTAATTCCTCATTAAACATGCTCTTTTGATGTTAGGCCTATATTTACTGTAACAGAATCATGCGAATTACCGGTACCAAATTTAGTTTCTGATACCCGTGCTATTAGTAACAGGACGAGAAACAGAATCATCAACACCACGCTCTCCCCAAACAGGAGGTATGTAAACCACATTGGTGTGAATGTCTCCATCAGATACCCTAATATGATGGGGTTGGTCATAGTTCCGCTTGACGCTGCTATCATAAAGAGAGCTACGATTTTGCCGGAAACAGGAAGTAGTTTCTCCTCTGTCCATATAATCACACATGGGTAGATTAGAGACATGGATGCACCTGTGCAAACTGTGCATACCCATATACCTTCGTTTACCATTAAGCTTGCTGAAACTGACAGCGCCCCTAAACCAACACACAAGAATATGGTTAAACCGCAAATGATTGTTGTCGGGCTGATGAATTGTATAACCCAAATTCCCAAGAAGCGAGCAAACCCGAAGACTGCCCAATACAGCGACGTGACGTAGGAGCCTTGCACCTTTGACCAGGTAAGTTGTGTAACGCAGAACGCTGTCAGATAGGCCGTGAATGTATCCTCCATGGCACAGTAAATTGCCACGAAAAAGCTCAGGCTAAGCAGGACAAGAATTTTAAAACCAAACGTGATCTCCCTAGAAATTCGTTGAATGTCCTGTGTTATTTTCTGTGTTGAGGTGTTCTTTTGACGTTTCGCTCTTACATATAGGATAAACAGAGGTACGACACAAGATATGTGCATTGCTGCTGTTACACAATATGCCACATATAGTCTAGAGTCGCCGATGTCATACCCGGACGCAGTTGTTTCATTAGAAAAAGTATTGGAATTGATGCAAGTATTGTGTGTGCGTTGAGACATGTTGGAACTGCAGTCACTATATATGTCCGAAGAGACATTTCCTGTAACAGTGATTCCTATGTCGTTGGTATCCTCATGTGTCTCCTGTAGAAAAGGAGACGTCACCAATGGAGACGTGATACCACCAATAGCGAAGGCGAAGTGTAAGGCCTGTACATATGACCGACCTTCCCGCCCCCAAATATACATCAGGAGAGCATTTCCGCCTGTAATATGAAATATGATTTATTAATTTAGGATTGGTTTGGTTTAGTATAGTTTAACGTCCTATCAACAGCTATGAGCATTTAAGGAGGCCTACCCTGTGTGCAAGATGCATGCGTGTAGTGTATGCGTGTGTGTTTTGGGAGGATGCGATATGTTCCCCCCGCCCGATTCCTAAGCAGTCACACATTAGACCCCTCTAATGCTTACATTGCAGACCTATTCTTACTCCGATCCTGCAGGGGTTCCATTACCAAGCAGGTTTAAAAGAAACGTCTGATAAGTACCTATAGGATATGATGAAAGGAAGATACGCTCTTTACATAGAATGTTATTATGGGTTTGTATATGCTTAGAGACTCTTCATTGGAAAATTCATAAAAAAAGAAAACTCACTGGCACCGATTCCCCCGCAGTAACAACCAGCCCAGAACTGCACCGCTATCATCATCTCGAACCAGAAACACCAGGGTAGAACGGCTGATATCACTACACCGGCAAACTGAAATAGTGCCACGATGAGAAGTTTGCTGATTCGGTCAAACAGCAACCCAGTGAGGATACCACCCGCCAGGTACCCCACGGCTCTGCTGGTCAAGAAGCCAGATGCTTTCTTTACATTTGTCCTGGTGATGATTTGAAGGTCAAGGAAGGCTGGGCCAAACTGACCAGACGCCCATCCCTGTAACAGAATAAACTTCAGTTTTAAGATAATTTTAAAAATCTGAATTATGCTTGTTATACACATTTTAGAATCTCAAATTGTTAGATATGCAACATGAATTGATATCCCTGAATATACAAATTAATCTTACAGGGGAATTCAACTTGAATCACAAGAACCATGTAATTCTAAAATAAAAAGTTGTATAAATGTATTGCATTCTAAAGATTCATACCAAGAATAATTAATTATCTAAATAAGTAAATATGCTTTTTCACGTACCAATGTGACGAAGGCCCAGCATAAACACAGACTGAGGATAGCTTTCTCCTTGTAGATGGAATCTGATTGGATTCTCGTTGTGAAGGACATACTCTTATCAGGAGGGCCTTTAAGTATACATTCAATCTCCTCCTCTTTGACACCAGTCTCTGAGTTGAAAGAGTCACTTTGAAGCTTTTCCTTGCAAAATGTAGCAGATTCTTCATTTTCTTCTTCTTTTGACATAACTGGGATATCTGAGGATACAGTATTAAGCCAATTATCCGCACTCAATAGAAAACATGCACAGTAATAAAGCAAATTATCTTTCAAGGCACGTATCATGGAGTAAATTCTTTGTAGGTTATCTAGATTCTGATAGTTGCTGTTGTAATTTGTATTGAATATGCATATAAACATGCCGATAACGTTTGGTTTTCAGTTAAAATCGAGATATTTATCATATTATATATATACATAGATACATAGAATTAATTTGACAAAATTAGGATTTTACAATCCTTTGACAGTCGGCTCAGAAATAAGAAAAGAAAAAAACAAAGTTGAGACATTTAGATAGGTTTTTTTGCTTCAAAACTGTATTTCTGCGTTTGGTTTTGCCAGTGTTCATCTAATTTATATACAATTTGTTTAACTGTGCTTGAATTCACAACATTTGACGGAAGATTGTTCCATACATCAACTGTTCTCTGTGTAAACGAACACTTTCTAATATTTAATCTTCAATGCAATTTGTCAATTTAAAAAATTGTGTCCACGTGCAGATGAACATTCCCTGATATTAAATATGTCAGATACTTTATGGTCATAGTTGCCGGACAATATTTTGTAAACCTTTATCATGTCATCACGTGATTTTTAATATGCTAGGGTTGTGTAGTGTAGTGAAGTGCTAGTAGGCCAGATACGTGCTTCGTTGCTCGACCTTGTACTGAACATTTGCTATTATTTCAACCTTAGAACCATATCAACAGTCACTACTAGTGTGGTTTTATCCAGGACACACATTTAGATAAGGTGGGTTTTACTGGCTGGGAAGGGTTTTCATACTTAACAAAGATAAGCGAAGCCTACTTTGTTTATACTTAATTCATTAAATCTAACACCTACTTGAATATGTTAAACTTTAGATCAGATTCTTAGCGGGCTCGGCGTATTATATTAACCAGTATCTTCATTAATCCTTGATAAGTTTGATCCTTTTTCTCCTTTTCTCTAAAATTTTTGTCAACAATAAATGTTCCATGCGGTAACTTCCTATAAGTTTCCAAATTGAACATGTAAGATTAAGGATCAATAGGAATTAATCTACTTGTGAAATCTGAGACATTTCAAATCTGGTTTTGAAAATAGTTTAATAATGTTGGGGGG